TCAACCGTTTGACAGGACTGGTATCGACCCACGCCACATCGTCTATGTCTACGTAGCATCAATTACCTACCGTAGATAATGCGGAAGCTCGCCACTCGAATGGTGGCTGTGATGCAGAGCGGAACCGGATGTGGATCGATGAATTGAGGAATGGACCTGGGAGTGAGTTTATGACTCAGCTAGGGGAGGCAAGGTAAGGTAAGGGACAGCGATTCTGAAAAGAGTACCTCCTCTCTCTGCTTCTCACGTAGTAGCATATCCGTCAGGGAGGTAGTACCGTAGGCAAATGGTGGTGAAGTTTTGGTAGGGCTGAAAAGTGTGTAATTTAGAGAGGAGAGAGAGAGAGAAACGGAAAGAGAGAGAGAGAGAGAGAGAGAGAGAGAGGGTAACCTACCTCAATCCAAACGCCTCCTTCGCTTCCTCCTTGGCCTTTTTGGGAGGCGTAGGTGGTGCGGAGCCCCAAGATTGAGGTGAATGTTGGCTCGGAGACGCTGGTTCCGAAGAAACAACAGAGCTGTGCACAATCTCTCTCGATTCCATATCCACCGATCCGAAGACTTCCCGGGTGTAGGTAGTGGTTTTCGTGATTGTCGTGTCGGCATCTGAAACTAAATTTTATAACTTGGATGCTTTTTTCAATTACAAAAACCAAATATTAGTGATTTACGACCAAAAATCCGCTCAATTTTCAGGTAAAATCCGTTAGAAACGGAAATTAATCTACCTTCCGAAACAGACACGCTGACGCTCCTCGTCTCCGCCGCATCATCAGCATACGGTAGGTAAGGTGCCTTAGCAGCTTGTGGAGGCGGAGGCGGAGGTGGTGGAGGAGGAACCGGACGTTCCGGAGTCAGAGTCTGAGGCGGGGGTGGTGGCGGGATTGGGGGTGGAGCCGGTAGACGTTCTTCTACTCTTGGGGGTGGTGACTGGTGGACCTGAAGTTTTGATTTAGGGTTGGTTATCGTGATATTTGTATTAAATTCTGTGTTAGCTTGGATAGAAAACGCAATAATCGACTCTTTCAGCCGGTTGGGTCTAGACCACTACGCGTGATACCTAATTACGCCAGCTGTTAGCAATTGCTCACCCTGTAAACCAGCAGAATCCGCGTGAATCCCTGTTTGACTGCTTTGAAATTATAAAATTTGGACATTTGAGGGGATTGTCATGTCTAAAAATCGACCCCTTCCCGCGCCTAGATCTCGACAACTACGCGTCATTTCTAAATCCGCAAGCTATTAAAATTTTGTAACTGTAAGTCGGAAATTTTTTTTGTATTTATTGCATGCATTTAATTCAGTAAATTTCGAATTCACGGGAGCTGTAAGGCCCGAAAATCAATTTATTCCCATGGCTAGATCCCGACAACTACGAGTTACACCTAGTTGCGCAGGTCTACCGTTTCTTTGTTCTAAATTTCGGCTTCTAGAAGCCATCAATATCACGGTTAAAGTGCTTTTTGGCTTGGAACGTCACTGTCTAGATCTAGGCAGCTGTAGGGGGTTGATTTTTTCGAATTTCGAGCCCCTTTATGCACGCTTTTAGGTATCTGTTCATAACGCTGTAATATATAGACCTATGCGTAGCATAACGTAGCGTTATAACCCCAATTTTAGACCCAAACGTAGCGTAACGTAACGTTATGAACCCAATTTTTTTTACTACGTTAAGTCTGAATTCGCGCTTTAAGCACGTGGGACAATATGTTTAAACCCATACCTGAGGGATCGGTGGTGGCGGCGCAGGCCTTGTTGGTGCTGGAGGTAACGACTCGATGGTACTGTAGTAATGTGAAGAAGCCGTCTCCTCATTCTGCACCTTCTTGGTCGTGGTGGTCGTTGTGGTGACGCTGGACATGGTGACGTCGCTCAAATTCCGTCCTCCCTCAATCGGGGTAAATCGAGGCTCTTGGTGCGGCTGTCCGGAGATGGTCTTCGGTTCGAAGCGTTCAGTCTGCTCGAAGAGTGCAGCGAAATTCTTCTCGCTCATGCGCCAGTAGTTCTCACGGAGGTATTCCTTCAGGGAATCGTCTGGAAAATGGGAGTTTTTGGATTAATCAAAAATTCGGAAAAAGGGCAATTCAAGTCGAATTGAAAGTGTTCATAATCACCAAAAGGCAAGGGGGTTTCATGGTAGTTTTACTTTGTCGTGCCTTTCTTGATACAATTTTCGCAAAACCTGCTTAATTCTAGTGATCCTTCCTGGAAATATCTGGAAAAGCTAATTTTATAAAATTGCAATAACTGAGTGACTGAGCATGGCATGAGTGAGAACGGGAGAGGGCAAGAGGAGAAAGCACGAGAAAGGGCGAGAGAGTGCGAGTGAGAGACAGAGAGAGAGAGAGCGAGAGAGAATGAGGGAGAGAGCGAGCGAGAAAGAGCGAGAGAGAACGACAGGGAGAGCGAGAGAGAGAGAGAAAGCGCGAGAGCGAAAGAAAGCGTCCGAGAGCAAGAGAGAGCAAGAGAGAGCACGAAAGAGAGAGAGAAAGAGAGAGAGAGAGAGAGAGAGAGAGAGAGAGAGAGAAACAAAAAATATAGTTTCGGCGGAGTTACTATATTCGCAGGCTTCAAGGTATCGTAGCGTAACTTAAAGGAATTTGTTAGCGCGAAGACGTAATGCAATGCGGGAAAACCGGGCCGGAAATCGATGCCGGGTGGGAGGTGCCGATTCATGGCTTCAATTGAAGTGAGGGATGGAGAGGAGGGGAGGCTCTCCCCCCTTATCAAAACGTACCGTGCTTCTTCTCAAACATGCATTCGCTGTTGAATTTGTACTCGGGGTGCCCGTGGAGATTGAGACGACGCAGGATACCGATGTTGATCGGGGCTCCATCCGAGTCTCCCACGAGGAGTACGATGTTTTTTCGGAGGTGTAGCGGGATGTAGGTTAGGACCTGAAAATTATGGCATTTCGAGAGGAAATTTAGCTTGGGTCCCAAATGATCGCTGCTAGCCTGCCTATTTTTTTCTGGTAAACAGAATTCTCATAGATCTCTGCTAGTCTGCCGATAGACGGTATTAGCCCCCGTTAGGTAAGCTTTAATGAGTTTATCCAAGAATTTCTGTTAGCTTGCCGGGACTAACTCTGCACAATTCATTCATTTTGTTTTCGTAAAGGATACCTGCTAGCTTGCCCAAACCAGTGTAATGTACCTTCAGGTATCGTTTGAGCTCAATTTCTAAAGGATCTTTGCTAGCCTACCTCTTGAGCAACACCTTTTGATTATTTCTTTTCACCCTTTGAGCAAAACCGCCAAAGAATATCGGGTCCTAAATAATGCCTGCTAGTTGAACCGAATTTCCCAAAGAATTCCTGCTAGTTCCCCGCCCACCCACCTTGTTCAACTCCTTCTCCTCTGCACTGGTCATTCGTGTCTGCGCCGAAAGGACCACCCCAACAACGTCAATGCGGTGTCGATCGTTGTGGGACAGCCACGAGGTAAAAAGGTCGTGGATCTCTTTTTCGCACCTGGAAAGCGGAAACTTTTGATCTTTGGCGAGGTTTCTTATCGTAAATACCAAGTCATGCCTAAGTAAAAAACCGACTTACTCGTGATTATGGCCTACACCCGGGGTGTCAATAACGATGGGTCGGAACGTCGTTTCGGCATTGTTAAAAACGTAGGTAGTGATGGAGCGTGGTGGGGTCGAGTTTCCGAATTTCTAGAAAGAACTTTTAGACGTTTGTAAGACTTTTTAGGAGACGTTTTTAGACTCAAATATACGAAATTGGCTTTTGAAAAATGGAAATTTTTAGAAGAAGAAAATTAACGTGGCTTTTGGCTTCCTATCCTTAAAAAAGCAGGTAAAACGCGAAAATCGTCCCCCAAAGGTCGAATAGATCACGACAGCTATGTTATGCTCCAAAGCACGCTTCGACGCTGTCGTTATGGCGATAAAAATTGGCTTAGACTCGTCTTTTGGACTAAAACATAGCTGTCGATACCTAACGGCCAAACGGAGTCGATTTTTGGACTTTACGACCGTTTTAATAGTTTTAATCGTTGAACTTAGATAAAAACAAACCTCGTTAGCGATATGAAATCGCTCCTCCGATTCCAGCGTAGCACCATAGAAATAGTTGCACATAAAATCGATCAACTCGGACTTCTTGGTGTTGGAGGCACCGAGGAGCAGGAATACTCGGGATTCACGCTGTTTTCCATCTCAAAATTTTGTATTTTAGAGTGTAAACTACACAGTAAATACAGATCATGACGTGTTTAACTAATCAAAGAACACCCTACCATGAGAATCACCGGCGAAAACCGTGCGCACGTTCGGTAGCGTAGCCGTCAGGTCCTCGCCGGCGAATTTGTTGAGTATTTTTAAGCTTTCCTTACGTTCCACCATCGTTTTTCAGGGTGCTATCATCTGAATCATAATTTAAAAGAAACAATCACGCTTTCAGAGACATCGAAAAATTATCGAAACCCTGAAAAAGCCCTTAAATCGATTTTTTCAAAAATTAGAAAGTTACCACATAATCCAACAAAATCACACTTCACTCAATCAATAAATACTGTTTTGAAAAATATCGATAAATTAAATTCGTTTAATTTAGGTGAAAATACGCAAAAAATTGCTTAATCTATGTTTTTGCCAAAAATAACAAATTTGCAAGGGCCGAAAAGAAAAATTCGAGTTTTAAAGAGGTGGCAAAATTCCAAAAATTGCTTTTCATCGCCAATCGGCCATAACTCAACCAAAAAGCGACACGAGCCAGTGAAAAACTGAAAAATTGGGGCGCCACCCTTTCTCGATCGGGTGGTAAGTGATAGGTGAAGAAACGAGGGAAAGGAGGCCCGAACAAAAGAACTTGATTCCTACAGATTTATCGCTACAGGAGCAAGACAGGTCGGTCAACTCGTAGCGAATGGCCGTGTGGTTTATTTTATCTTGAAAGCGTTTTTTACATAGAAAAGCGAGAAAAATGGCCTTGATAACCGCTCGAAATCTTGTATAAAACGTAACACGGCGCATGGTAGAAATTGCTCATAAAACTACGGATATACATATTGGACGGATTGGCTGATCTGAAAAGTTAGAGAGAGAAAGAGAGAGAGGGGGATGAGAGAGAGAGACAGAGAGAGAGAGAGCGATAGAGAGAAAGAGAGAGAAGAGAGAGGGGCGAGAGAGAGACCCAGCCGTAAATAGGCGCTCACGTCCGTTTTAATGCGATAATGACCGCAACAAGTCTTTATTAAAAACCGGTGGGGTGCTAGCGGAGATACCTTAGGAATGAGGATCCTGACGCAAATTCTGTTCACCAAAGGCAAAACAGGCTGAGCTTCTTGGCTACTGATTTTCATGGTGCATTTCGGAATTCGCGGATTATACTTATTGATCTAACTCGAGTAGGAATTAGTTATTAACCAGTCATTTTTGGACACGACAAGATCCTAGAAAAATTAAGGTGGTCATTATGATGATAGTAAATGTAGTCAAGAAAAAGAGCGAGATCGATAAATTAAAAAAATCGACGGAATCGACGGAAAAAGTAATCATGATTTGAAAAGAATATACCACCCACTTCATGAACCCAAATCGATAAAATTCAAGCCTCTGACTCAAGGGTAAAACAGTATACAGCCCCCTGATAGTATAAGCACGACTTGCCGATCCACCCGCCGGGGAAAGGCGGCAAATTTCGGGGGTGATGCCGGTGGGCACGAATGTTGTGGGGGCTGGGGTGGGGGAATGTTTCATCGTATTGTTTGCCCCGATTCGCCGGGCCTTCAAGCCGGAGAGCCCGCCGTATCGGGACTATAGGGCAGGAGAGAGACTCAAATTCTGGAAGACAGGGAGGGAAGTGAGGCCGGAGAGTAGATAACAAACCATCCAGAAGCCTCAGATCAGCCACCCATAAAAAGTTAGGGTGGTGGGGGAGGGGGGCTCGCACACTTCGGCAACGCTTTCCGGGGCGATTTGGCAGCGGTTGAAGCTTTTAAAGGGGAGGGCAAGGCAGGAAAATGGATTTTAGTGGAAGTGCTGTACTGGATTGTGCTACGCGCGCACCGGTCTTTCCAGGTGGTAGTGGATTTTAACTCCCTGGTCGTGTTGAAATTCCAAAAAACCCTATTTCTGTGGGCTTTTTAGAATATTTTTTTATGGAACTTTTGGCGAAAATCGTCATAGCGTCACACCATATTAGCCGAGGTGTTTTGCAACGGTTTTTACTTTTCTTAAACGTGAAAACTTTACCAAGTCTGGTTACAAAAATACATAAAAGGACTAGATTTTTCGACCAAAAACGGCCGATCCTTAGCCAAATTTTGACTTTTTCAAATTTCTTAAAGTTTTTCGATAGTTTTTCTAGTTGAAAAATTGTTATATCTTACTAAAAACACTAATTAAATACCTCCTATTAAGTTAGTAGTCCTTTCTAGATATCCAAAATCCAAAAAGATCAAAAAAAGTTCTCGATCCCCCCGATAATGCACCAGAATCCATAAATAAATCTGAGATGTTATCTGTGCAGTCGATCGAAGAGATTGCGAAGCGGAGTACAAAAGATAAAATTGGCTAAAAAAATCAGATTTTAGCAGCCCATACTTTATTTGAGGGCAGAACTTCATATAAACCGTCGTAAAATCGAAAAGTTAGTAGCTAATCATTCAGAAAGACCGGATACGTTCGCAGAGCCGCTGTATTGAAAAGTAAGCGCCTAACGACCCCATCCAGGCCCTCTATATAATATCCAAGCGGGGGTCAGGTCAGCCGGGGGCTCCTCGTCGTGTTTTTCCAAAGCCTTGTGCCAAGGTCGTCCGTCCGGCTGGTAGCAATGGGAAGGAGGTGAGCAGAATAAACGATTTGACCGCTTTCCTCGGCGTCAAGTTGTGGCCAGTCCCCTCCGCCCCTTGGTTGCCCATTTCACGCGCCAAAATCTGGCAGCTAGCCCCGGCCGATCTGGGGTGTAGATATCGAAGGCGATCGGGTGAGGGGAAGACTGTCTTGATGTTGTTTGCACGGTTTCGCGGCCACCAATGCTGAGAAAAGTCGCGCAAAAACAACCGTAGCTAAATCGTGTGCTAAATACTGTCCCAAAACGACCCCTTCGGCGTTTCGCCGTATTACACGAAATCGGTCCCAAAATTGGACCAGAATTTTCTCGGACCCTCGTAACAATGCCGAATTGCGTCCCGACCGCTACAATTGCCCTCGAGTTACAACGAAAATACGGCGCAATTCCCAATCGTCTTCCCGCTATTTTTTTGGACGTTGTGTCGTTTTTCATCGACTTCCGGCTGCAAATCTCTTATTCCCCCGAAAATATCTGGTCATTTCACGTTGTGAAAGTCGTCCAACACAGCGTTTATTTGCTTAACATTTGTCATGCAACAATTCTAGGCGTAGTCGCGTAATTTTCACTTTGGTTTTTGACAAGGTTATTTTCACGGGAACTCACCGAAAAACCTAGAACAAAGTTTATTTTTGCTATAGTTCGAGAACTAGTGGGGCTACGTAGCTATAAGTCAGGATTGTTGTTATTTAGGGTATGATAATCCTATGGTCCAATTTTGGGGCCCATTTGATGTAAGGCGGCCAAATGCCGAGGCGTTCGTTTTGGCCCCCCCCCCCCCCCGTACATGTGGGATAACCCGCTACCAAATGTCAAAAAATCGGCTCCGGAAGCCTCCAAAAAGAAAGACGAATGTCAAAGTCCTGAAAAGTCAGAAGATCCATTTCAAAGGCAATAAACTATACAACATGACAACTCCACGAACTGCCAGCCGCGAAAGGCCTTGGGCAAACCGCGAGCTCTGGCCAAATACGGCGAGCCCCGCGTGATGCATCCGCCGCTAACCCGATCGGCAATCAAACGAAGCGCGATTCGCGTTGGTTTGACACTCGATCTGCAGGAAGAATTCAAGCACAGCTTGTCAATTCCGCGGCATCAGAAAATCAAGGCCAGAAAAAAATGGGCTAAACCCAGCCGTTGCGTGCTTAAACTCCTTGAGAACTCCTACTCAAAAAGCTGAAAATTTCATTGTCCGAGTCGTTCAAGTGGTTCAGGCCATAAAAGTCAGCTAGCAGACACTACGATTCATCCTTTAATAAAAACGCGCACGAGAGGGGGCGAGGGGGCTAGGCTACGGGGCGCTCCAATACCCCCTCGCGTAATGCATTGTTAAGCTAAGGGGTGCTATCTTTTCCACTTTCAACTGGCTATAACTTTTTTTCTGAGAAGATTTCATAATCTACTTGAGTGTACAGAAAAATAGAACAGCTTCTGCTCTATCTTTTGGTCAGGGTTTCCTGAAAATCGTACACGGCAATCGGGCGCCCGGGCGGTTTGAAGTTGAAAAAAATGAGGTACCTAAGACAATGGGTATCATAGGGAAGCTAAATGTTTGCGCATAGCGCCCCAATTGTATTTTTTGATAGACTATAGACCAGCAACTAACCAATAAAGTGCAAAATCGCATCATCTTGACATCCACATCAGGCTTCAATAGAAAGTTAGTTAAAATTTTCAACCGGCTATAATACTTTTTCCTGGCTGTTCTGGAATTTGCTTGAAAGCTAGGAACACAGAACAAACTTCGCTCTATCTACGGCAACCAGTTTTAGAATGTCGTAGCGTTATGATTTTAACAGTGGTCGATTTGGATATATGCATGAGTCCGCTGTTTTTCTTCATCCATTCTGCGCGAAAGAAAGTGATAGCATGCTTCTTGATCCGTCTAGAGTCATGACATTCCACTAGGAACATTTTCCACAAAAAAGCAAAACGAAAATGCGGAGGCCTGCGAACCCGAGAACCGAACCCGCGTCCCCTGTCTCGGGGCTGAACCGCCGCCTTAGACCACTAAACCACGCCCCGACAACCCCTCCCGTGCGCGCTCTGAAAGGCCGTGGCAGACAAGAAACCGTTGAAAAGTTCGGCGAAGAACCTCGAAACCATTGGCGCGTTTGCAGCAGTTAGGGAACCAGGTCGAAAGGAGCCAGCGAAGAAGGGCAGACGAGAAAGCTAGAATGTTGTAGTGGCTGGTGAAGAAAACGTGAATTTTAAAAGCTTCCTGTAAAATGAAGCTGAAGCCGTGGTCGGGGCCTGAAAAAGCGCCCCTGAATCTTCGCATTTTAAGGCTTTGTCTTCCAAGGATTCGCCTTCTGTTTGAAGAACCTTTTACTTACCTTTTTATTTAGTTCTTTATTTAAACTAATTAGTTAAAAAAAACTTAATTTTTAATATCGAAGATTTTCACCATGCTAAAGCTTTGTTGAACTGCCGCGATGCCTAGGTGTTGTTTGGCATGCCGTGTAGCCACTTTCACGAAATCGGCCAAACTCGGCCGCGTTTATCCTTTTCGTTTTGAGTTTCCTTTTAACGATTTGAATTAACGAATAAAAGTAATTTCTTTGCTTTCAGAGATGGGCAAGCATGAGAAGGGCACGCCGAAGGAAATCGCCAACCGCTCCAAGATCAAGGGCATGCAGAAATTGAAATTGTAAGTTGTCGCCAACTTATTCTTACATACCTTTCTAGTTACTGCGAAATGTGTCAAAAACAATGCCGCGACGCCAACGGCTTCAAGTGCCATCTGACCAGCGAGGCGCATCAGCGACAACTGCTGCTGTTTGCCGAAAACTCAGACCGGTACATCAGCGAGTTCAGCGGCGAATTTTTACGGGGATTCATGCAGGTGCCTTTTGAAGCGGATGCTTTTTGATTGACTGGAATGGCGTGAAAATACATATATTATTTTTAGATTCTAAAAAGTCAATACGGGACGCGACGCGTGCGTGCCAATGAAGTCTACCAGTCCTACATCAAGGACCGAAATCACATTCACATGAACTCGACGATGTGGCATACATTGACCGGTCTCGTACAATGGCTAGGGAACAAGGAGAAGTGCAAAATCGACCTTGGGGATAAAGGTAAAACTCGGTTTTTTCGCATAATTGGGAAACGGGCAAATTTTCTAGGCTACATTTTTTTTAATACCAACTGTTCTTTAAACAACGTGATCTTTTTGGGGCACCCTGTCAATAGCGGAGTTTTCTAAGCTCTCCTAAGCATAAAACTTTGCAAATTTCGCATTAAAAATAAGAAGATAGACAAAAAGATAGATTTCTCGACCGAAAATGGCCTTTTGTCCCAATTCGACTTTTTGAAAGCGTTTAGTTGGTTTTTCGAGTTGAACTATAGCTTTCTGTTACTAAAAACGTCATAATATACTTCCTCTTATGGCTTTTTTTTTGGTTAAGACTTGGTATATTTTTTGCGTTTATCAATAGTAAAAATAGTTTAGAAACGGTTTTGCTAAATATATATACGATCAATGCGACCCTAAAACTTGAAGTTTCCGGTCCCGAAAAACTCATTTTCCCCGACAAAGTCTTCATTTCCAGGCTGGTACATCCAATACATCGACCACGAGTCGGAGAACCGGAAGCAAGACGAGGAAAAGAAAGTGAAACAAGAGCTGGACGATGAGCAGAAGCAGCAGGACATCATCGAGGCCCAAATTAATCGGTTGGTGGCTTTATAGAGTTGCAATTGCTGTTTTCCAGCGCTCGCGAGGTCCATGGCGAGCAGGAGTACACGGAGAGCACCGAGTTGGTCCGCAATGAGGACGAGAAGATCGAGCTGGCCCTGAACTTGAATAAGAAGCCGACGTTAGAGGTAGATTTTCGGAAATGCTACGTTTTGTATCACTTTTTGTTATTTTTTCACGGCAGGAGACTGTATTTACAAAATCTATTTGCGATGTTTCGGAGTCACTACGTTTAGTATAATGGAAATTTGTAAGGTTTTCACTAGAAAAAATACAAAGTTGAGTGACTTCCAATTCGCTAGAAGTTTTCCCGCGTACTATAATTTAATTTGTTGCTTATACACTGCGAAAGACAGTAATTATAACGTTTAGTCGCTCACGTTTCAACTTTTCCTACGGTTATTATAATCTAATTTTTTTATTTAGGCCCTGCAAAAGCCCTTCGTTCAACTCGGCGCCAACGCGCTGGAGCGAGCGCGCGTGAAAAAGGAGCAGCCCGAAGACCGATGGGGGCGGCGGAGGAGCCGCAGCAGAAGCCGCAGTCCGCATGGTAGAATTTTTCATATTTTTGCAATTTAGTTAATTTTTAGGCCCTTCCACATCCCGGGGCAAGGAGCGGACCAAGAAATCGGCGTTGGACGAGATCAAGGAAATGGAGGTGAACAATTGGAATGATTTTGCAATAAAACTTTCCAAGCGCTAAACTGAACTGCATTAACGGGGCGACCAACTTTTTCATAGGACCCAATTCCAATTCACTTGTAAATAGCGAAAATGTTTTGTAAGCTTTCTTGATTCTTAGATCTACAAATTTTACAGTGCTAAAAATCCAAAAGTATCGATTTTTTTTCAACCTAAACGGGCCCTTTTTGACCAAAGTCTCGACTTTTTGAAAGTTTTTAGATAGTTTTCTAATAAAATGTGCTGTCATTTGACTGAAAGCGCTATGAAACTATTAAGTATGAAATGACGACGCCCTTCTAAGCGTGTACAGAAAAAAAATTAGGTTCCCTCTCGAGTAATTCAAAAGATCCGCTTTATTCGCTACGTTTCCCTTTCGCGCATAATAGCAATTTTATACTTTAGCGTACACTAATAATGATATATATTTAATATTTCAGGAGCGCCGAAAGGAGAAAGCAAATCGCAAGGACTATTGGCTGTGCCCGGGGATTGTCGTCAAGGTATAGAATGCTCCTTATTTTTTTGCATACCTCCCTTCTTAGATTGTGACGAAAAAATTGGGTGAAGATTATTACAAGGCGAAGGGGACGGTGAGGGAGCTCGTCGACGACTACACGGCCAAGGTGAAGGTGGATGATGGTGGGATTTTGGTGCCTTTTCCGTGACGTTTGTTTTAGTCGTTCTAAAGCTGGACCAGGCGCACGTGGAGACGGTGATTCCGCAAGTGGGCCGTGAGATGATGATCGTCAACGGCGCGTATCGAGGCTCGAAGGTGCGGCGATTTTTGCGGTTGTAATTTTGTGAAGTGGTAGTTAGACGTTGTATTGAAGGGTAGTTCATCCAGGCCAGATTTTTGCCCTGATTCCGAATCTGTAGTCAGTTTTTACCCTTCCCTTATGTTCACCGAGATACGAAGTCCGAATTTCGGTTCAGAACGGCGCCGATGTCAAAACTGTTCCGTTTTCGGTCCTAACTGGCCGATTTCGCCCAACCTTTCAACTTTTTAAAGATTTTCGAATTTTTTAGGTTTAGGTTTTAGGTTTTTAGGTAGTTTTTCGTTTGAAATATAGTGACATTTTACTAAAAACACAATCAAAGGCTTGCTGCCGCTAACCTTGTAACAATTTTTATTTCATTTTCTCGGTAGTTTTTCGCTTGGAGTATAGTAGCAAATGCGTGATATCACGCGCCTTACTAGACATAGAAACCTATTTAAAAATTGATTCGGTTCCCTGGCGATGCGAACGAACGGGGGTCTCTTAAATTTTTTAGCGGAACGACAAATCTTTCCTTTTCAGGCCACTCTACTCGAAATCGACCAAGAAGCCTTCGCCGTCCACCTCAAGCTGTCCAGCGGCCTGTGTAAGGGACGCGAGATCACGGTGCCCTATGAAGATGCCTCAAAACTCGCCGCCTAATTCCCCTCACTATTGTCTGTCTATTACTTGCGGGTCATTTTCGCTGTTTTACCTTTTCGAGATACTAGTATGAAATAAAAGTTTCATTTCGTTACAACCTGTCTTATTTGCTGCAGGCAAAATTCGTGCGAAGATGCCAAACCCTTTAGCGTAGAAAACCCTACAACCCGGGAAAGAAGTATGCGGAATGGCCGCACAGTTAAAGTTAGTTAGGCTAAAGCACGGAACAGTTAAAGCATTCATAACAAATCTTTTCAGGGGGAAATCAAACAATCATTAGAAATACATTGCAAAGAAATTCCGTCTTGCTTACACAAAAAATTACATTTCAAAAATTCCATCAACAGCGTCGCGTTATTTCAAAAGCTAAAATTTCCAAAGCCGTTTGTTTGCTTTTTACGAAATGATAAAAAATGGAGAACACATCTCGACTAGCTTATCACAGAGCTTTTGGTAGATATATAAATCAAAATAAACCGGGTGACTACGGGGTTTTTTTGACAGGCTGTAGAGCTTCTTGCTGGGGTCGTCGCTTTTGCCCTCGCCCGCTGCATCTGCTGCCATTCCGTGGGTCGCCTTCGCTCATCGTCGTAACCGGAAAAAATATGGGCGGCGAAGTAACTCGTTCGCTAACTAACCGCTATTAGTCGAATCCCCATGGGTGCCCTGAAGGGGAAAGTGACACTTAGACAACGACATTTCAGAAATTCGCCCAACACAAAAATCCGCAACAAGCCCGATTGCAGAGCGCCAGTTGTGTAGCTCTTCCCTTCGAATCGATCTGGCTCTGTAACTATCCGTCTCTGTATGTCGGTTTATGTTTCCGAAACGTAGGATACTGTAGAAATGCGTCGCGGTTTCGTCAATTTATTCACGCATTGTACATGAGGAAGTTGTGCTCCACGTAAGGTTCAAATGAATTCAAATGAGGTCCGAATGACGTCCGGATCAGGAAATGGTTCATCAGCAGCATGGCTAAAGATGATTGCATTTGGCAATTTAGATTTTGACTCGGCGCACAAAACGTAATCCAGTAAATTCGAATGTTTTAAAGGGTTGGTATCAGGTTGGACCGAAAGCCTTTACAATCCGTCTTCAGATGAGAAGATAACAATTTTTTTTATACCCACTTTTGCTGGCCGTCTTGCAGCGGTAGATCTTTCCAGTCACTGGGCGACCCTGAAAATTATATTCTGAGCCCTTTGGCATCAACGGGGGGCAAACTCTTTTCTAAGGATCCAATTTTCAAATATAAAAGAGTCGGTGGTTCTAAAAGTTTTTACCTTTTGTAAACGCAAAAACTTTGGAAATTTTGAATAAAAACGCAAAAATATTGATTTTCGACCGAAAATGATCGGTTTTCGACCAAAATTTCAACTAAAAACTTTTTAAGGTTTTCTTAATTGTTTTTGGGCTTAAAATATAAGTAAGTTGTATTAAAACATTATTAAAACGCTTACGATTAGGTTGCTAGCCATTTCTGGACGTAGGGGAAAAGAATTATCGATCGATCTCGATCATCCCCCTCCCCCCAAACGAACCGGCCAGCGCTTCCGAAAGAATAGCTTCGTCTTCTTCGCATCTGGGGAGGTATCGGGTATCGATTCGATATCGCTGCACGCATGGCGTAACATTTCCTCCAACTAAAGATCTCAGAAATTTTTGGGCTTTCACAACATAATCCAAAAAACCACGTGCCAGTATCGTCGATTTTTCAAAATTTCCGAATTTCCCAAAAAATTTGATTGAGCGGCTCAGGAGCTATAGAGAAAAAATCTGGACACCATGGCAAGGCTAGTTTTTTTGCAAAATCTAGCCGGAAGGCCAAAATATCTGAGTTTGAAAATCCAAACTTGAGCAAAAATCTCTTTAACAAAGGAAGTGCACGAACTTAAGGTGGGCTTTCTTTTTCAAGATAAGTGGGTCTGATAGAGTCGAACACGGGTATTCCGAAGCTGCAATCAGAATTTGCTAAACGAAACGGAGAAAAAAGTTATGAGGCTTCAAAGTTGGCAAAATCGGCAAAAACGGTACCTTTAGCGGCCTGTAAAAGGCGCGGAAGCGGAATTGTGCAAAAACTGATTGGTGCATCTTGTTCAGCAGAAAAAGCTCTTTCGAATGAGCTATCATTCAAAAGTATACGATAATTTCGCGGAAATCTCTTCGAGGACCTCCACAGGCTCTACACTTACCTGTGAATTAAAAAGAAGCTTTTTCACAAATTATCTGTAATTGCTACATATTAAAGCTCATTCGAAAGAGCTTTTTCTGCTGAACAAGAGGCACCAATCAGTTTTTGCTCAATTCCGCTTCCGCGCTTTTTACAGGACGCTAAAGGTACCGTTTTTGTCGATTTTGCCAACTTTGAAGCCTCATAACTTTTTTCTCCGTTTCGTTTAGCAAATTCTGATTACAGATTCGAAATCCCCGTGTTTGACTCTATCAGACCCACTTATCTTGAAAAAGGAATGCCACCTTAACTTCGTGCACTTCCCTTGTAAGACTCAAACAACTTTTTATAGAGGGGGAGTTGCGCCATAAATATTTAAGCCTCATTTTTATTTTCAATTTTCTCTTCCGATGTTAGCGGGGGTACCGGGGTTTTATGGTATTAGTATTCAAACAGAGTTGAACAGCCGCTTCGCTACTTTTTCAATCCTGGCCCCGTTTGGGTCCAATGAAAGTTTACACTTTGCATAATTCCACCCGACTCACGCTGAAAAAAGTGAAGCATACGCTCTCGCTCTTTTAAATAAGCTACCGCCACTTCCGGTGTATGCTAATTGATTCCTAACAAAGAGGGTTTTGGATTTTTCAAGAAAAATTAAAATTGAACATCGAAAATAAACGATTTTGGTAAACTGGATAGGGGCAGTCATCTCCAGATCATTACGCACCTATTACGTATCAAAAATGCCCTAACTACTCTCCTTCCTGAGATACTGCTGGAACACGCTGACGGAAGTTGCATGCAAAGTGGCACACAAACACTAATTTTTTATATATAGTCGGATATCGAAAAACAGCTGATTTTAAGAATCTCGTATGTGTGCAGTCGTGTCATGTCCGTTACGCACCCTAACGACGTATCATACGTACTTAACCTCCCTCTCCTATTGAGATACGACTGGAACATACGGACGGAAGTTGCATGCAAATGCACACACACGCACACACACAAACACTATTTTTAATAGTAGTGGTAGGATAGTAGAGTCGCTTGCCAACCTTTGTCCCAACCGCTTTATCGGGATCCAGGCCGTTAATGCAGTCCATCCGGAATGACTGACATCCAATAATGCCGTCCGGCCGTCTGTCCCTGATCGATGACTGCCTAAAATCGTATTTTACGGGCAATAGCCGTTTCAAGGTTCAACATTTTCAAAACTCTTGGGAAACTATTAACCAACCCGAATGATCCCCGGCAATGATGGATAGTATAGCCCGTTAAGCTGGACCTCCGTGGTGCACAGAGCTACGTCCGGGGACCTGCCAGCATTTCTTCCAGTAATGCTAGTTTCTCGGCCATAATATCGCTCTTGGAGAATCCCCCTAAATATTTTTTGGAGCTTAGCCTGGCGGACCCGTGTCAATCCGTCCGACACCGTTCCACAAGCAAACTTAACGGGCAAAAATTGGAAGGGGTATGTAGGCAAAAGGGACATGCTTTTTTCAATATTGTCGTTATTTTCGCGGGATCTTTGCAACGGCATTCGATAGGAGCATCAAAAATATCCTCAGAGTTTTGTTTTAGCTCAAAGTATTTGTAATATAAAAAAGCTATGGTTAAAAAATAAAAATAAACTTTCAAAATCGGGTTGCGCAGCTGTTTTTCGACATTCTCGCTATGTTTTCGACACTTCCTAAAGACGCCATTCTATAGAGACATCCAAAATATACTGGGAGGGTGATAGTTCATTACCGATAAACCCGCAGAATAACAAAAAAGGAGAAGCGTTCCGGGGAAATGGCGAAAGTTTCGAACGCCCTAAAAACCGAAATTGGATCCGATTTGGGAAATTAAAAAGACGTAGAATGTTCTTCTTGACGTGCTCGATCAAATGCCGTGTTTGAAATTTTGAAAAACCCCCGCCTAATTGGCTCAATTTAACCTATCGGGGAAGAATTTGCCCAACCCTTTCGCTGCCGCCGCTGGCGGCCCAGGCGTGTTGGGGCCCTGGCTAACGCTGGGTCTTTGGTATCATTCGAACCGTAAACTTCTGTTTTGCAAATGATTGATACCGGAGTTCAATATTAAGTCGGTTTCAGAAAGTTATAAGAACTCCAACTTTTTTCGCTCATGATACCGCCAGTTCCTATGGACACTTTCTCTTCGAAATTGCGCCTGTTTGAGGTAAAAGAATCGCCATTTCCCAAAACAACCAAGACTTCAAGGCAACGTACCGCTGTTAGCCCATCCTCTTCGAAGAACAGATGAGCCTGAAAAATTGACTGGTAGTTGGCAGTGTTTGGCAGCAATCACAGTTGAAAACAGCAATTAAGCTTCCAAATGCGTTTATGGAATGGTGTCCTCAAAATGAAAGATAGCGAAAATATGGAAATCTGGATTTGCAACCCATTTTTCAAAGGTTACTTTTGCTTAGGCTATGATTCAGTTTGCCTCTCCTTGCGCCCAGGCTCTTCAGCCATAAGTCCTGCTAAAGGCGCTAGTTCAGCCAATAAAATAAAAGAATTTCCGTGGGCCAGGAGCCGAACCTCCCTGCGTTTTTGTGTCTGTGCCTCTCTCATTTCTCCGATCTCTAATAGCTGCTGTAATGGGGGACTGTTCGCGCGCGCTGTGCCTACGTCCATAAGTTTCCTGTACAACAGCCCCAAGCTCCAAGAAGTTGAACTAGCTCTTTAACGCACCGAGTATCTGAAAATGTTCGCCGTGGTTGGAAAAACTATAAAAAAGTATGTTTACGGCGGGAAACATGCTAGCAAAAATTTTTACAGGCATTTAAAAGTTGCAAAGATTAAGCGGCGATCGTACAGTT